ATTTCTGGGAAGGGGAAGGAGGATCTGGGGTAATTCAGAATTTGGCAGATGTATTTCTAAATTCATGAAACCCAAGTATTTGAGATTTGCTTCCGCTGAGAATTGTAGCTCTTGTGATTTACGATGAGTCAGGCTCCTCCTGGCAGGTCATTTTCCTGGGGCATCACGGAAGGGTCTTGTCCTCATCCCCTTTCATAGCTGCTGTTTTACAGCTGGTTGGAGGGGGCAATGGCAATCATCAAACAGTTTAAAACTTTTTAGCTGAGTCCTTTGGGGTGTTTTCCCTCTCCTGCCCATATGTACAGATTTCTACCAAATGCAAATGTTCCTCTCCTGTGCACCCTATGCATGAAAACAGCTTGATGCTGGAAAAAAAACAGAGTTTTCAGAAATCCCTGTGGGATCTTGTGGCCAAAAAGTCATCTTGGTTGCTTTTAATGAGAACAGCACTGTAGTCAGCACAGAGTCCATGCTGGAGGTGCTGGTGATGGGCTCAGGTCCTGAGTTTCTGTGTTGGAGGGAAGGTGGCTCCTCTTCAGGGGAAGGCAATCCAGTTTCTGGGCTTTTCAGCCACACAGGGCTCAATTGCAAAGCTTTTATTTTTAAAAGTAAATAATGCTTGGGTCCCTCTCAGTAAAAAGGGTTTTTTTGCCCTGGCTTCAATACAAACATGAAACAGAGCAACCCTTCTTGCTCTTGAGAAGGATGAGCCCAAAGGCTACTGCCTGATGGGATGTGCATATGTTTTGGAGGGCTCATAGCTGGGACCAAACCTGAGAAGAAGAAGCTGGGTTGGTGAGCAAAGCCAAGGAGGGTGCTGGCTGTCTTGGGTCCATAAGATGAAAAATCAAAGCATGTCCAAGGAAAGCTTTGCCATTTCTCAGGGGGTGCCCCAGGTTTTATTGCTGTGGCTTCATCCTGGCTCAAACCAGGACAGGAGGTCTGGATGTGACATAGAGAAATAATCTAGAATTATTTGTTTAAAGAAGAGATCCAAAGTCATTAGTAGGTTTGACATCCACCCTGCACTGGGTGTTATGTGCTTGGGGAGAAGCACTGAAAGAGGGTTCACCATTGCTCTGCACTGGGATGGGACAAGCTTAGGGTGCCATGTGTGGGATGCCAAGTTTCTTCCTTCCACGTGCTGTATAAAGTGGTCCAGGACACCCAGCTCTAGCACTCGGTGGGAATGATGATGTCTTCCAGAACTGCCCACTGAGACCAAGTGACCTCCTGGTCACTGTGCAGCAATGAAAGAGTTAGAAACTTTCCCTCAGTCAGGAGCATCCCAGGCTGCACGGAAGCTCTGCAAGGTGGGGGGAGGCAAAGGTTGGTGTGGCCCAAAGTGCAGAAATCAGCCAGGGCTCTGCAGAAACAGGCAGTGAGTGTTACTGCACTTGCACATAAACCCTCTCCCCTTGTGCAATGCGGTTGAATTAAAGCTCCCCGTTGAGAAAGAGCTCACCCAGGATCTCGCATCCTTGTTTTGGGGAGGGGATGGGAGAGGAGCCAGGAAAAGAACACTCTCATATTCATATTTGAGGATTTAGCTCCTGGCTTCTGGGCAAGTTATGGAGGCAGGTGTGAAGGGGAGCGTGCAGACTCCTTTGCATGTGTTTGTACCCTTGCTGGGTATTTTTAGGCTGCAGACCGCAGTGCTGCAATACTGGGGCTGGCTTTGAACCAGCTGGTTGGGGCATTGGTCACAGACAGGCTTTGGCAGCGTGTTGCTCCACGCGGGCTCATTTAGCTTGCTGAGGAGGCTGATGAATATGCAAGCAGTAATTGCTGCTCTCCTTTCCTTACAGCAAAGGCGGAAGCGACACCGGGGTCCAATTTTCTCCTAATGACTGATTTCATTTCAGCACTGCTCAGGGCAATGTAGGATTGATGCTTTTTTTTTTTTTTTCTTTTGAGGGCTGGGGAAAACAACTGAACTTGTCTCTCTGTGCATTGCTGAGCTGCAGCCCATGGCCTCTGAACTGCGTGGGAACCCTGGTTCATCCTGGTGACACACGTGGTCTAAGCTCCTTCTCCTCAACCTTTTCTCCCTGGGCTTCCAGGCTCAGCCTGTCACACACACATTTCCACCCTTGTTTCTGTGAAAGTGCAGTTGTTTGGGAATGATTCGGCCCCGTCAGTCCTGCTTTGGGATTTGGGGTTTGGCTAGAGGTTCCTCAATGACCCTTCTCATCCTGACTTCCCTGTCTCTGTACATACAGTGGCAATTAAACTTAATTTATGCTGGCCTGCTCAATAGTAAAGGCCAGAAGGCACCATTAGATCACAATCTGACTTAAATATATTGATCTAATTAGTGCTCAGAGGTATAAATGGGAGGTGGGAGCAGGACATTTAACGTGATGCTGGGTGGAACTGGTTCCTTCTGCTCTCCTTAATGCAAGCCTCTAGGTTGCCAGGAGCTGTTGGATTTTCTCCTTGAAGAACCAATTTCTGTAGGACTTGCAGGGAGGGAGGGGGCTGTGTAGCTCCACCTGGTTCTGATGCTGCAATCTGCACCGTCTGCAGCTCCCGAGGACCTGCCAGGGAGCCATGTCTTGATTTTGCTCCATCACATCACTGAATATTCATCAGACTTCTGAAGGTTTAATGCTATTTGCCTGGTAGCTAACATGTTCTCTCCCTAACCTTTTTTAGCCTTGGTTGTTAATAACCTACAGCCCACTCAGCCTACGCTATAGGGTGGTTTGTTTTTATAAATTGTTTATAGATGAAAATGAGGAACCTCAATAGCTCCAGAGCTGGAAGCAGCTCAAAAATACCTTGTCTTGGTTGCTACATGTGCCTGTCTGCTTTAAAACCCAAAATAAAATCTTGCCTTTCGGTCTGTCATTTAAACTCCCCGTAAAACATCCTCAGGAGTGTGTATCTCTGTAGAGCAGGTTTTTTTCTGATAAAAGCTTCCCCTACGTTTTTGCAAGCCCAAGTTTGGGCTTGTATGTAGCAGCAGGTTTCAAGGATGAGATTGACGTGGTGTTGAAAAGGGGATGGAAAACGTTCCATGGGAGAATGGGTCTGTTTGCTCTGGACCAGGCGCAGGAGAAGGCCCTGCTCTGGGCACATTGTGGCTGTATCCGTGGACAGGGAATGACCAAGGGACCAAACCTGGCACAGCTGAGGGTGTGTGGGTCAGGACCAGGCTCCTGTGCCAGGCACGAAGCTCTGGGCAGCCACCAGCATCTCCCTCTGGGCCCTGCTCCTCATGGCTCTTCGAAGCCTGCAACGTTTTCCTCTGTGTTTCAGGGGACAGAGGTTAGCATGTCTTTGGTTGTTTTGTTTCCATCCCTCCTTTAGGAAAGAAATTCCCCAAGAGGTCCCAAACCCCTCCTAACATGGAAGGGATGCCAGCAGGCTGCTAATGGATTTGCTGCGGTGCTGGCTGCTGGGGAGCTGTGATGAGAGAGATTTCATGGCAGCTGAAATTCCTCCAGTGGCTGCATTTTTCTACATTGCAAGATGCTAAATGTGAAATGAGATTTGGGGCTCTCCAGGAAGGGGGGAGTCTCCAGACCGAGCACAGAGCAGTTGCACAGTCTGGGATTATCCCGCGTGAAGACCCAGTAACTGTTTCCCATCGTTTGTGGTTCAGATTAAACCATGTGCTAAAAATACACGATCAAAGATAATTTCAAGGGTCAGATCCTCTGTTGAAGTAATATGGGCAGAGCCTGAATTTTCTGCAAGGTCCTTATTTTGGGAGGCCAATGTTTGCCATGCAAATGGCAGTGCAGGGTCCAACACGAAACGTTCTCCTGCGCTGCCTCTCCGTGGGGTATAACAGCTGTTTATTTGGACATAGAAATCCATAGATGGAGGAGAATGGCTGGCTCCAGGGACATCAGACACTCCTTTCCAAATTCTGACCTTCTTTCCCTTTGCTAATAAATCTGAGTCATCCATATTTCAACCTTCTGCATTAGCCTTGGCTGTTTGTCCTGTCTTTTAACATCTCGGCGTCTTATTTTGCAGAGATGAAGTATGTGGGTGTGTGGCTTTATAAGGCAAAAGTTTGGCCTTTAAAAAATTTCCTACTTCTCTGGTCAATTTTTCTTACTAGTATGTTTCTCCACTGTCCTCACTCCTGTTAGGTGGTCTCATTGGCTTGACAGTCCCAATTATGGGGCAGTATTTGCTGTTATCTGTCAGGCAAGACACGTCATCTTCCCTGAGCTTTGCTCCCAACCTGAGTTTCAGAAATCAGTAAAACCCAAGTGACCCCAGGCTCTAGCAGCAGTGCCCACGTAAGCACTGGGTAGGAAAGTCTGAGCTACCAGCACCGTGTGATTTTTATCAGCTGAAATTGTGTCTTGTAAATATTTACTGGAATTTCAAGTAGGGTTTATCTAATGAAAGCCAAGTAAAACTTTCCACGAAAAAGAGCCACCCAACCGGTGGTTTCTGGTGGATGTTTAGGGATGTGTTTAAGAGCTGGGGGGAGAAAATAGGATATTTTATCAGCTCTGCTGCTGTCTGTGACTCAGGGCATCCTGAGACACTGAGAGCTTCAAGCACCAAGTCACCCATGGTGGGGACCACAGACCTGGTGGCTCCAAGCACATCCTGCTGTTCCTGGCAGCAGCCTCCCAGATTTGCCATACCCCTGGATGGCCTGTTAGGAGGGCTGAACTGGCTGCCAGGGCACAGGGAGGTTGGTGGGAATTTGCTGGGATTTGCAGCACTTGGGGGGGGGTCCAGGTCCCCTTTCCCTGCAGGGACAGTGGCGCATCCTCCCGTTCTCCTGCTGCCACCGGCTCCGGCAGAAAGCAAAGCAAATGCATCTTTTTTCATTAGCACTGTCGTCAAGGTTGCCAGGACCATAAACACAAAATCTGAGCAGAAATACTTGGCACACAAACTGTCTCCTCTCTTCCCCTCTGTGCCGAGCATGTGGGTGGCTCCGATTCCTCCTCTCCTCGGCGGGACGGGAGCGCGGCACCGTGGGGCGGCCGCTCAAACCTCCTCTCTTCTCTTTCTCTCAGGATCTAGTGCCCAGGAGGGAGGGACGCAGAGGGTTTTGGCCATGGCCCCACGGAAGAGGAGCAGTCGGGGGATCTCCTTCATCTTCTGCTGCTTTCGCAGCAGCGACCACCCCGAGATCACCTACCGGCTGCGCAATGACAGCAGCTTTGCCCTGCAGACCATGGAGCCCGCGCTGCCCATGCCGCCCGTGGAGGAGCTGGATGTCATGTTCACCGAGCTGGTGGTAAGTAGAGGATGCTTTCTCTTTATTTTATTACTTATTTGCCTCTTCCTAGTCTCCCCAGGCTTGGTTTTGAGTTTTCAGGCAGGCTTTGGTGCCAAGGGAGCACCAGGGGCTTCTGTTGAGAAAGGTTCTGCACTGAACCGTGAGCTCTGCTCCTCCCCACAGTGCGGCCAGTTCAGGTGGTTTTGCTTTCTTGTTGGAAATCCTTGACTTCTTAGGGCAGGGCTTGGGGGCTGGTCTGGCTTTGTGCACCTCTGGGGTGTCCAAGGTAGTAAAGCAGGTTGCCCCCGGAGGTGCAAAGTGACTGTACTTGCTGGGCACTTTGCTTCACAGAAATCCTTGGGTTTGGGCTCAATGGAGATTTGAAGAGTCAAGATACTGTTTCTTTATCCCTCAGCACCAAAACTCTGAAAAACCTGGATCAAAAAAATACTGGCAGCCAGAAAAAACTTTAATTTCTTCTAAGCAAAACCATTTTGGTGTGGTTTGTTGGATGGACCCAGAGTGCTCCACTGTGAGTGGATTCAGCAGTTCAGTGGGGTTTCTGTACAGTGCTTTGATGCGTAGAAGGAGCCGGGAGTCCTGATGCTGGTTGGTCACACACAGCATATCCCAGGAGATGTCAGGCAGCATGGTTTGGGTGAGCCAGGCCATTTGGTAGAGGAGAGCTGCAGATTCTAAGAACTGGTTTTGCCCAGATGTCCTTCTCCATGGGCAGGATGAGACTTCTGGCAAACGGGGACACCCCAAATAGGGCAGTGGAGATGAGTTGTCCCTGTGACAGGACCTCTTGCAGCAGTTCTGCAAAATACCACTGGCTAGGTTTGGTTTGTTCAGGTGGAGTGGCTGCCTCTTCCACATTTTTCTCCACTGATAACTTGGCCAAATGAGATTTGCCTGGGGAAATTGTTTCCCATGGAAAACTCTCCCTGTTTCCCAGCCAAAGCGGCATAAGGGCTTGTTGGGCTGGGACTGGACATCACCAGCCATGTTGAAAAAGGCATCTGGGGAGACTCACATGCTGAAGCCCCACCAAGCCTGCAGCCCCTTATCTTAGCCCAGGATTTTCAAAGCATCCCCCCAGATTTAGTGAGATGCTTTGTGCAGAAGCTGTGCAGCGAGGCAGGAGCCCAGCAGCACTTGCAGGGGCCAGCCAGACCCGGGGCATGCACTGGTGTGGTCCTTCTGCTCTTCTTCTCTTACTCTGTGCTGAAAAGATTTTGCTGTTTTTTCCCCTAACCAAGGGTAAGCAGGCAGCTTGGAGGCAGCTGCTGCTCCAGGGCATGCTGGCAGCAGGAGCCATGCTGGTTCTCCAGGGACTGAAGTCACTTGAGGAGGGGGTACAATGGGTGATCACCATGCTCCCATGCAAACAGCTTCAACCCCTTGGCTCCCTAAAACACCCTTCAGGCATATCTCCACCTGAGCCAGGACTGGGTGGGAGGGAGGGGGAAGCTGAGCTCTTCCCTGCAGGTGCGAGAGGGACATTCCCATTTGGGTGGAGTAAGGATGCAAACCCCCCATTACAACAGCTCCTTCTTGCTCTCAGTAACCTGTTGGTTTCAGGTATTAAATTTCAGCATTAGTTAAATGGTTTGGAAAGCGTCCCACTGTTGCTGTATAAACCCACTGTGTAGCATTTGGAAGAGAGACAGAGGAAGCACTCAGAGGTGCTGGGCTCATTTTTACTCCTGTGGGAGCCCAATGCCACCCGGCCTGTCACACTTTACTGGCTGCGGCAGGATGACTTGTGCCTGCCCTGTGGGACCAAGGCTTCCTTCAAAATCCTCAATTGTCTCAGTCCATTGGGTTGAGGGAAGTCGAAGTGTTTGGAGTGGGTCTGGAGGCTTTGCCAGCCCAAGTTGGTCCTTGGCCAGCTCTTCTCTTGCAGCTTAATAGTGACTTTTCTGCCTCATTTGCTCCCATTAGGGACTCAGAGTGGCAGGGGTGGAAGATTTCAGGCCTGGGACAGGTGGTATCTTCGGGGACATTGCAGTGGTAGGTTTGGTCACTGAGGTGGACAATCCTGCCACAGAGACCAACAATTAGGCAGGATCCCTGCTCCGCAGGTCCCAGCCTCCTGCAGGCATCAATGGGCAAAAGTTCTTTCTTTTTGGAGACGTCCCGCAAAATATTCTCTGGGCTTTGGGTGTTTTTAAGTGAGCCTGTTCATCAGGAAACATCCATAATGTGAGAAATCAGTGATTGTCCCATGCCAGCAGCAGAGGACAAGGGTCTAAGCTGCAGGACATGGAGCAGCTGTGACTCTGAGGTCAGCTAAAGGCTTGATGTGCTCTGTCCCAGCCAGCAGTTTGCAGGCAGGCAGGGCTTTTTCCCTGGCTCAGGGCAGAGGCAGATGTTGTTCCTGTGATCGATGACTGATCACTGCTTCCTCCAGGAGGAGCCTTTTTCGTTTCCTTCCCATTCCTCCTGCCTGGGCTGAATGGGTTTTCGTCAGGGCATTGTTGGGATGTCGCTCAAGCGGGCACCGGCCCCGTCTGAAAGGCTTTTCTTTGTCCTCTGTCCTGGTGGGGCTCCGGCCAGGCCCAGCCACCCAGGGAGGCGCAGGTGCTGGCAGGGAGGCACAAACAAAAGCAGAGGATTTCAGCAAGATTTACTGACTTGCGGTTCCCTTGGCTGGGACAAGGCTTTATGATTTCGTGCAGCTCTCCTTGCACTGAGGCTGGTGCGTCCCTCCGGTTGGTGTTTGCTCCTTGGGGCTCCTGCAGGAGTGTGGTACCTGACAGCCACATCCATTGGGCTGAAGGAGTTTCAGGAGCCATCCATCTTCCTGCAGGACACATCAGGAGGGTTGTTGTGCTGTGGGCCTGCTCAGCCCCAGTGAGGGGGAATATCTGGGGCTGCATGAGCTGCCTGCAAACTGGGAGAACAAAGCTGTGCCATCTGCCACGGCTTCTTTCAAGAGGCTCCTGCATATCCAGGCTAACAATACAGCATTTCTTCAAAGCCTGAAATCTTGCTTGCACGCTCAGAGAAAGCACTTGCAAAGCTCCACATAATGGTGCCATATGGTAGATCTTGCCATAACAATCCTCTCTATTTTCTGCCAGCAACTAGACTTTCCACCAGATGGGTAAATGACTGATGTCTTTTATATCTGCTTAACACTCCTTGTCACTCTGAGGTTTGTGGCGAAACGCTCAGTGTGTGGTGATGTGCATCAGCCCTGTGGGATCTGTCCAGGCAGGGGGGTGGGGGCATGGGGGTGTTGAATGGCTTGGTCTGGAGAGGGCAGAGGGATCCCTGGCATGACCCGGGACACCTCACTGGCTCTGTCTGTGGTGGGGCTGGTGGCAGTCTCTGTCCCAGCAGTAGGAGAGCAATGCTCTGGCAGCTCCTCACACCACCTGGGTGCTCAGAGATGCTGCCAGGTCCAGCGTGGCTTTGCACAGCCCTGCAGTATGAGGTGCTGCCTCTTCCTGGTCCCTCACCTCGTTCCTGCCCTGCATCCCTGCTGGTAGAGGGATGTGCTCAGAGGAGATGCTGCCCCACCTGCCTCTCAAGGCTTGTCCTCCCAAATTCCTGGGTTTTGCAGAAATTCCAGTTACTGCTCCCAATGGAGCTTCTCAGGCTTTTTACCTTCGACTTGTCTTTAGCAACAGAGAAGAAATTAGAGCAGCCTCCCTCTAGCCTTGCAGCTCCCCTGGAATGTGCAGCAGCCCATTTCTAGCCCACAAAATCAGAGCAGGTAACCTTCCCCAGGTCCTTCCACCCAGTCTCCAGCAGCCAGCAGGTCTTGGAGACCTTGGGAGGTGATGCTGGGAGGCAGGTGGCTGGTGGTTGTGTGGTATCCCCAGTCCCTGGGCTCAGAACACTTGCAGACCCTTGCTCTCTGTCATTGCACAGGGTTAGTGACTGTCTCCACTGGGATCTGCTGGAGGGGAGAGATTCACACACCATCTTCAAGTGCTTTATGCCTTCCCTTCCCATGATATGGAAGGCTGCTCCATCCCTCTCTGCTGCTTTATGAAGTAGTGGAAAGACAGGGGAAAAAAAAAACAAACTAAAAAAAAAAACTAAAAAAAAAAAAAGCTCTCTGGCAGCTTATGAGGTTTATCACAGCATTTGTTTTTGCTGTACTTGGGGAAACTCATGCATTTCCATCAGAGCAGCTCTCTGGATGCTATCTGGTAGGAGATAACATCCCCGTCACAGAGATTAATCCTTTGAAATGCTTCATGGTGGGCAATTGCTCTGTGCCTCACCACGTGGGGTGCTTGGGTAAGATGCTCCATGCATAACTGCCCTGCAGAGCTGTGCCTTCCTGCCCTCTTGGCGTGCCAGGACAATTGCCATTTTATATGCTGCTCCAACAGGGAGCAGAGGACAACCCCAGTGTAAGAAGGAGGCAGTGGTGCAGCCAGTCTGAGCACTGCTCTGTGTTAATAGCAGCTCTGGGTTGGGAACTCACTGCTAGTGACATCCAGTTTTACTTGGGAACTGAAGAAATACACTTTTCCCCTGGTTTCTAATCCCATAAGGAGAAAGTATGAGGTTTTGGGCCTTGCGAAACAACACAGCTTTTGAGTAACAGCTGAGGGATCAGCTGCAAAGCCAAGCTTTGCATTTCATGCTTGCAGGTCACCTGTCATTTTTTGCTGCCCGGTCTTTGCAGCATTAAGGACTTTGGGATTTTGGGAACCACTGAACAGCAGCCAAAGCCATTTTCCCATATATCTCCAAAGAAAAGTCTGCAGCTTGTACGCAGAAAATACACAATTCCTATAGCCCTTGTGTCCTGGGCAAGACACCCCTTTCTGCAGAGCCTGTCCATGGTCAGACAGACAGCACAGGGTTCCTGACCCCATCCCACCAACTACCCCTTAAGAGCAAGCTCCCTTGAGCTTATGAACCATTTTTGAGGAAGAAAACCAAGTGATCTGGTGAGATCTGCTTTGAAGTTCCCTCTGCAGGGAACTGGGTGGTTCTGCTCATTAGATGCCTGGACCTGCCACGCCGCTCACAGCGCTCGTTTTCAT